TATTTACTCAGGGAAAATATATATATATATATATATATATATATATATATATATATATATATAAAATGAGCAATTTGGCCATCAGTTTCATGTCGATAAAAGTGATAGTTAGTACAACTTCCATTCATTTGCTTATCTTACATCCTAATCACATCCGAGTTTTAACTTTTAATACTATAACCACCATTTGATTGTCAAGGTTTAGAAAGGCCATATTAATATAAAAAGACTTTTAAAACTTTTGACTTAAAGTTGCAACCAATCAAAATAAAATAAATAAAAAAGATATAGGTAGAAGTTATTAATTATACTTATACCAAGTGGAGGTGGTTTCCCAGTGACTTGTGTAAACCTTTGAGAAAATGTGCTTTTATCTGATGCTACAACTCCATTAAACATTCCAAGATCTTTTCCATTCACATCTGTTAAACTCCATGAATCCTCATTCTCCAACCACTCCAATCTCCCAACCATAACCCCAAATTTACTCTCTATACCTGATAAAAAAAGGTCAAGTAAGATACCATTTTATTATTAATGTATATTATAGTTCAATAAAGTTTCTAATACCAGGTTCTTGGCATAAAGCTCTGCATATAGAATTCATTCCAGGGATGCCCACATATTTCTTGCTTAATCCTTCCTAAAATGAACAGAGAAAACATCATAAAGAAAAGCAACACGGATAAATAAAAATCAGTAACTTTTAAGAATATTATTAATTCAATCAATCAATGAACATGTCAACATGAAAATTTAGGGAATGTCATGTGGGAATAACTTTTTCTATTATAATATCACTAAAAGTTTTCAAATTCAAATGTATATACAATATAGAGATTTTGCTCATGATTCTTGTAAGCATGTGGATGAAGATATATACAAAAGAACAATTCAGGCATAGAATACTTCAAACAGCTAATATACTGATTTAAAAACTCAAAAGAGGACGACAAACAGCTAGGTGGCCAAGTTGCGATAATAAACTATGATGAAGATGAAGAATAAGTAAACCTTTTCGAAGTTGACAAATTTTTTAGTATTGAAATCAAATGACCCAAAATTCTGTTTCCATTCAGCGACAAGACCCCTTGCTTCCCAACCCCTAATCATCTCCTCCACGTCGTTGTTTGTTGAAGTAAAATAAGGTGCGCCGTGGTCAAAATACAATTCCCTTTCATCTTCAGAAGTTTCCCTGAAAATTACACAGAATGCATATAATTATACATACATACGTTTCTTGTAGTCCTTGATATGACATGAATTGGGATCTAATTGTGGAATATAAGCGAAGTAATTATGGAGATTGAGATAGGGTTACATACAGAGAACAATAAAATACCATTAGGGATACCTTCTCCGAGACATTCGACCACCTGGGCCTCTAGCGGATTCGAAGATGGTTACTGAAATCCCATTTTTGGCCAAACTGGAAGCGCAAACAGCTCCTGAAACTGAACCATTTTACAATTGGATCGAATTAGATCGAAAAACAAGCACACAGGCACATATTCCAGAACTGAAAGATGTTTCCTCACTTCCGGCGCCGATGACGGCAACCTTGGTAGCTATGGGATTCATGGTGCACTCGTCGACGTTCTTCACCTGCGAATCGGATATTTCTTTTTTAGAGTTTATGTAATTTTTATTGATGTCTCATTTTATATTATCTTCACTTCTACACTAAATCAAATTTACATTTTGCGTTATATACAAGTGTTATTTAAATGTAATAGTGTTTGGTTCTGGTTAATTCACTTTTCAACAAATATTAAATAAAGTTTTGTTTTTGTTTTATGGCAAAAATATCATAATAATCATTTTTCAAATTTTTTATCATAAAAACAAAAATAAAAAATAACCTAAATGGTTATTATTTCGCAATAAACTATATAAAAAAATTTTGATAGACTGCGAAAAAATCAGATTTTCATAAGTTTATTCGAAATCTACGTTAACTGCAAAAAAAAAATTATATTTTTGTAAAACACCCTTATAATTGAAAGAACTAGTATGATGATTGTTATAAAGTTTGAATGTAAAAGCTATGGAGTTTTTTTTTCATAATTTTCACCAAATAATCTACTTTTAAGCTCAAAAATGACTTGCCGGCTACCAAATTGAGAGTGCAATATGTCCATGGAAAACCCTGGTAGTCTTTGTTTTTCTTGTTCTATCCGGTGGAGCGGATGTATAGAATCCAAACTATGAACACACTTGAACACCAAAACCCTCGTCGAATAAGGTTGTTGATCGTAGGACGCGTCGTGTCAACCGAAGCATGTCACGTCGACCGGCAGATCTGGATTTAGAGAAAGATGAGAGGCTAAAAACCAAATGAGGGATTATGTAACCTAAAATCCTATTTTGGCACTCATATTCATAGGGGTAGGGTTTAGATATCCTTATTGGATAATTAATTTGTCACAAAATAATTATACTTAAGACATGACTTTCAAATTTTTACACTTTAAAGCCTTTAAGATGTATAGATTTTTATTAATTTATAAATCGCTAATAAATTAATAAATTAGATCGTACTTATTCTCTCTTGTCAATTATTGTTTGAATATGTCCTTACGTATAACCAAAATGACCATGTTATTAATAGTAATCTTATCAACTATTGGTAGTGGCTGCAATGCCTGCAATATAGGGTGTAATGTCTCAAAAATCACAATAAATTTAAACTTTTAAAATCAACCCAAATCATAAATTGTTTATAAATCATTGTTTTCAAAATGTTTTGGCTACCACACAAAGCAGTAGCGCCTCAACCCAACCATACTATGTCGACATATACTCAACAAATAAACATAAAACCAGTTAACATAAAATCCGACAGATCTTGTAACATCCGGAATCTAGAAGGTCAATTATGGAAATAAAAACCTCATTTCTAAAGGCCAACTCGTCGAGTTTGGGGAGGAAACTCGACGTGTTGGAAGTATTAGTCACGCGTATTTTTGAAGACCAACTCGACGAGTTGGGGAGGACCAACTCGAAGAGTTGGATGTGGTTTGGGAAACCCTAATTTCGGGGTTTTGCACCCTATTTAAACAACTTAAACCCCATATGTTGGCCTTATTTCCAGCCACCATTGTCCTAAACCCTAACCTCGAAACCCTAAGGCATTTTTGAGTATTGTGAGCCATTTTGAGTGCTTTGGTGGTGTGTTTGAAGCCATTGGAAGGAAGGGACGCTTGGTGAGAGTTGGTGATACAAGAAGGAGCTGCTAGATCTTGAATCTTTGCTTCATTTTCGGCACTTTCTTGGTAAATAGTCTCAATCTTGCTTTGTGAATTCATAGATCTCCTTCTTTGGGTTCTTTTGCATGTTTTGTTCCAAATAGAGTGGTTGTTGGGAGTTGGATGTCCCATTTGGACAAACCTTTTCGGATCTATGGTTCTATGGAGCTCTTATGGCATAAAGGTGCCAACTTTATAGTCTTAAGGGCTCTATGCTTCCATTAAGCCCTCATCATCTAGCCTTGTACGTGAGTAAAGTTGAAGACTTTACGTGACATTTTGGTCTTTAAGGTACAGATCTGTGTTCATGGGTTCTATCTTGAAGTTATGGTGGTTTTTGGAATTAAGACATAAGCCTTTTTGGATTAGGGTTTGAGCTTAATGCCTTTGGTGTCACACCCCCAAACCAAGATGGCAGAAACATTCGGGGGCGGAGGACGTCATGTACAGTATCATAACAATGCACAATAGTAAAACAAGCAACAACAACCATTGCATTAATAATATAGTTAATACAAGTGTGTTCTTTGTATAGTTGTATGACACCAAAAATGTATAGCAAAAATAAAAGACGAGTCTTGAACATGCTTCGTCTTCTCAAAAACCTGTGCTTGTGTACCTGCCTACCGGTTCCCTGAGAATACAAGTTATTTTGAAAGAGAGTATCAACATTTAAGTTGGTGAGTTCATAAGTATT